GTTGACTATTCTTATAAAAAATACACACACACATACACACAAAATACGGGGGAATTTTTGGAGGTGATGGATATGCTTAGTACCTTGGTGGTTATAATGACATCACAGGTGTATACGTGTGTCCAAACTCATCAAGAGGTATTCGTTAAATGTGTAAACTTTTTTTGTATATCAAATAAACTTCAATAAAGCTAAAAACAATAACAGCAAAGATTGGAAGAAAACCATGGTAAACCAAGCACTTGTATTTTACGATCACTGAGGTATAAATGAGGCTTCACAAATATGTTGGGATCCTTGAGGAATAAATTAATGAAAGCATAACTGAAGATTGGGGGTGAAGAAACCAATAAAATCAGAGGCTCTTCCGCAGATGTAGCTAATGAATGTGTTAAGTTTTTTACAACTGCATAGTACTCTACTGTGTTGTTACACCATTATTTTATAGCCCTCTATATGTAGACAGTATATTTCTAATAGTTCACTTTAGAAATACAATGTTATTGTGCCCTGGCTGGTGTGGCCCAGTGGATTGAGCACTGGCCTGCAAACCTAAAGGTTAATGGTTCAATTCCCAGTCAGGGCACATGCCTGAGTTTCAGGCCAGGTCCCCAACTGGGGGTGTGTAAGAGGCAACTGATCTATGTATCTCTCACACATTAATGTTTCCCTCTCTTTCTCCCTCTCTTCCCCCCCCCTATAAATAAATTAAAATCTTTAAAAAAAAGATAACACCTGTTTGGATAATGTACTCTTAGTTTAGGGTTTTTTTTTTTAAAGAAATATAACGTTGCAATAAATAATTTTATATGTGTGTTTTTATACACATGTAGGATAAATTTCTAGATGTTTAGCAAACACAGCATACTTACAAAGACATAGGATTTAAAAAAAACCAACAAGAGATGATGCAGACATCCAAAACTAGCAACAATGGGCAGCCATTTCCATACCTAGTCCAAAGAAGATGAAACCATCACCAGAATCCAAAGGTAGTAGCTATGGAGAGGATCACCTGACAGGACTGTGACCTTCAGTAATGGGATTTAGCCAGCATAGGGCAACCCACCTAAGAGACAACTGCTTGAACAAATACCCAATTTCATTCTCTTCATTTTCTTTAGTATCCTGCTGGCATTCTCCATTGGCTTCCAATCAGAAACCAACAGACAAGAGAACCCACTGATGTGGTCCACTTGGCTCTGCCTCAGACAGAGCTAGGGGAAGAGTAGATCTAGCAGGATAAACAGAAAATATCCAGTCAGTAATCATATCAAATAGTCTTCCATAGAGACTATATCGTTTTTTACCCCTACCGTTAAATCTTTAATATCTTTTTTAAGAGTACTGAAAAAGCCATCACCAAACCAATTTCTTTAAACTGGAGATTTCCTTAATATACTTAGTCACAAAACTGGTGTCTAATTTTTATAATAATGACCTGGAAACCCTTAAAATCATTCATCATTCATTGATTATCCTGAGCCTGACTCCATGAGCAGAAAAGACTTGCAAGTGGATTCACAAGCATAATTTAGAGTTTTTTGGCATTGAGCATCCTTAGGAGGAAGTAGGGCAATTTTTCTGATCTTATCAAGCAACATCTAAGTATCTAATAAGAAGATAAATAAAATTACCCATCTAAGTATCTAATAAGAAGATAAATAAAATTACCCTATATATACACAATGTAGTCCTATGTAACCATTAAAAATCATCATTTGGAGGTATATGGCTTGACTATCATAAAGAAAAACCAGGGAGATAGGAAGACTTTGAAAGATCAAGTAAAATGGGACCTAGTCAGGTGGCTCAGTTGGTTAGAACATTGTTCTGATAGGCCAAGGTTGCAGATTCCATCCCTGGTCAAGGCACATATAAGAATCAACCAAAGAATACATAAATAAGTGGAACAACAAATTAATGTCTGTCTGTTTGTCTCTCTCTCTCATTCAAATCACTAAATTAGAAAAGATCAAGTAAAATGAAATAGAAAATAACAAAATTAGGTATATGTAAGAAAAAGTACAGGGATCTAATTTATATATATTAGAGGAAATAGAAAAAATTCAAGGGTAATAGAAAAGTTCTTTTGAAATAGAAGAAGACATGAATCTAAAAGGTCAGATTCTGTTATACAAGATGAATATATTCAGGAAATAATGATAATGATTGACCCCAGATGTGTGGTGAATTTACCAGAATTCAAAGGTAAATAAAAGTTTATTTGGGGAAGGGTCCATTTTTCAAAGTGCACATCACCAGTAAAGGGGAAAATTAGTCTTGCCTCAGATATCTCCACAGTAAGAATGAATACTGAAATACCATGAAACAACATTTACAACGTTCTCAGAGAAAATCTATACCCAAAAACCCAAGGTGACGTTCAAATATAAAAATACAAAAGGATAGTTTCAAATATTTAATAACTGGAGGGAATATAGCACCTGTGAGCTTTTCTTTAAAAAGGACATAATCATAAAACCAAAGGACAAACCAAAATAAAGAGCCCAGAAATAAAGCAGCCATGGTGGAAGGAAAAGAAGTAACAGTGTGACATCAGCATCCTGGCAGAATGATAAGACTCCTTTGTTTCTCCCCTTAAACTTACAAGTCAGACAACTATAACTCAACAGAGGATCCCCTGCACAACAAACAAAAATACCTGAAAGATCCACCCAATGGTACATCTAAAGCTCTGCCTCTTGGGGTGAATAGAGGAGGTAGGACAAGGATAATGGCTGCAGATGCAGTTGGGTGCCTACTGAGGTTCCAGCAACCATGGTAGTTGTGAAGAAGTCAGGCTGCAGCCCTCACACTTTGGCCTGGAGTGAAAGAGGTTTAGAAGCAGTGTTGCTCTGAGAAAAAGCATCTCCTTTCCTCCCTCCCATCACAACAGACCCCAGTAGAGGTGCTGACAGCCATTGCTGATGTGGGCAGAGCCACAAGATTGCAAACTTTCACCCCTTGCACCACCCATTCTGGCAGAGCCCAGTAGAGGCAGTATAGATGCTTCCAAAAACATGGCTACACCAGGGACCCAAACAGGAAATAGCACTGGGAGCTCCCTACCATATGATTCCCCACCACAGTAGTGGTGTCCCATAACCCAGGAGAGCCAGTCACAGGGGATACCCATTATTCCAGTGCCTACATAGCGTTTTCTGTAAATGAAACAATGCCACTGTGAGCCCAGAGGCACATACAATGCAGGTAACAGAAAACAAAAACTTGTGCTATAATACCATCAAATAGAGAAAAACAAAAGTACCCTGCCTAACTAAGGAGGTAAAAGACCTGTATGCAGAAAACTACACAGCCCTGAAGAAAGAAATCAAGGAAGACACAAACAAATGGAAACATATACCTTGTTCATGGATTGGAAGAATTAACATCATCAAAATGTCCATACTACCCAAAGCAATTTACAGATTCAATGCAATACCTATTAAAGTACCAATGGCATATTTCACAGACATAGAACAAACACTTCAAAAATTTATAGGGAACCATAAACAAGCCCGAATAGCAGCTGCTATTTTGAGAAAGAAGAACAAAGTAGGAATCGCAATACCTGATATCAAATTGTATTACAAGGCCACTGTAATCAAAACAGCCTGGTACTGGCATAAAAACAGGCACATAGACCAATGGAACAGAAGGGAGAGCCCAGAAATCAACCCAACTCTCTACAGTCAATTAATATTCGACAAAGGGGGCAGTAACATAAAACGGAGTAAAGATAGCCTCTTCAACAAATGGTGTTGGGAGAACTGGACAGCTACGTGCAAAAATATGAAACTTGAGCACCAACTTACACCATACTCCAAAATAAATTCAAGGTGGATAAAAGACTTAAATATAAGCCTTGAAACCATTAAAGTCCTAGAGGAGAACATTGGCAGGAAAATCTCAGATATTTCATGCAGCAACATTTTTACTGATATGTCCCCTAGAGCAAGGAATATAAAGGAAAGAATAAACAAATGGGATCTCATCAAAATAAAAAGTTTCTGCGTGGCTAAAGAAAACAGTATTAAATTAAAAAGACAACCAACTGTATGGGAAAACATATTTGCCAGTGATACCTCAGACAAAGGTTTAATCTCCAAAATATACAAAAACTTACACGGCTCCACTCTAAGAAGACAACCAACCCAATTAAAAAGTGGGAAAAGGACTTGAACAGACACTTCCCCAAGGAGGACATACAGAGGATCCAGAGACACATGAAGAAATGCTCAATATCGCTAGCTATCAGAGAGATGCAAATTAAAACCACAATGAGATACCACTTTACATCAGTCAGAATGGCTATCATAAACAAAGCAACCAACAACAAATGTTGGAGAGGTTGTGGGGAAAAGGGGCCCTTAGTTCACTGCTGGTGGGATTGCAGACTGGTACAACCATTATGGAAAACAGTATGGAATTTTCTCAGAAAAATAAAAATCGACCTGCGTTTTGATCCAGCAGTTCCACTGCTAGGATTATATCCTAAGAACCCCAACACATTAATTTCAAAGAACCTGTGCACCACAATGTTCATAGCAGCACAATTTACAATAGCCAAGAGCTGGAAGCAACGTAGGTGCCCGTCAGTAAATGAATGGATCAAAAAATTGTGGTACATATACACAATGGAATTCTATGCAGCAGAGAGAAAAAAGGAACTACCCTTTGCAACGACATGGGTGGAACTGGAAAGCATTATGCTGAGTGAAATAAGCCAGGGGTTGAAAGACAAATACCATATGATCTCACCTTTAACAGGAAGCTAAACAACAAAACAGACAAGCAAGCAAAATAAAAATAAAGACACTGAAATAGAGAACGGGGACAGCGACCAGAGGGGAGAGGGCAGGAAATTTAAGGGGAAAAAATGGGAGGGATTTAGAGGAATAGGTATAAAGGACACAGGGACAATAACTAAGGGGGGTGGAAATGGGAGGGAGGTGGGGTGCATGGGGGAGGGGTGGGCTGGGATGGGAGAAATAAACAGAAAACTGTACTTGAAAAATAACTAAATAAAAAATAAAAATAAAAATAAAAAGTACCCTGCCTATCAACCTGCTGAATTGTTGGGAGCAAAACAGTATCTAAACAGGGAAATAGCTAAATAGCTCAAATGTGTGTCAGAGAAACAATTCATCAAATACCATGACCAACCAACATAACATAGGAGCACTGAGAGAAAATGAAAAGTTTCTAGAAACCAAACTTAGAGTCATGGAAGATTGTCACTTATATGGTATAGAATTTAAGATTGCAGTTGTGAAGAAACTCAGTTAAATACAAGAGAACTCAGAAAGGCAGTTCAGTGAACTCACGAATAAAATTAATGAACATAAGGATAGCTTTATCAAAGAGATTGAAACTATCAAAAAAATCTGGAGCCAAAGAACTTAATAAATGAGATGAGGAATGCATTACAAAGCACTGGAAATAAAGCCAACCAGATAGAAGAGAGAATTAGCAAGCTCAAAGACAGAAACCTAGAAAAGACCTTGGAGGAAGAAGAGTTTTTTTAAATGAGAGATCTGACTTCATTAGAAAGAGGAACAGGGATAATGGCTATACCAGTAGAAGAGGGAGAAGAGAACAAAGAACCTACTCAAATAATTGAGAATTTCCCAAGTCTATGGAAAGAACTGGGCTTTAGAATAAAGGGAGCTAACAAAACAACTAATTATTTCAACACAGAAAAATCTTCTTCAAGACACATTTTATTAAAATTGTCAAAAATTAATGACAAAAAATTCTCAAGGCAACCAAAGGAAACCCCATTAGAGTATCATGAGATATTTCAATGGAAACATTACAAATCAGGAGAGAGTGGAAGGAAATTTGAATGGAACTATCAGCCAAGGATAATGTAGCCAGCAAAGTTCTCCTTTAGCTATGAAAAAAATAAAAATAAATAAAGACTATCTAAGAGAAACAAAAGCTGAGAGACACTACTGCAAGACCTACTTTACAAAAAATGTTGTAAGGAGATCTACTTTTTTGGCTTTCAGCTCAGAAGAAGAGTAAGTGCAGCTTTCTTCAGTTGTCCCCAATCCAGGTTCATCAAACACTAGCAGCCTCCACCATGCTAGTGAAATTCGACCCCAACAAGATCAAAGTTGCATACCTGAGGTGTGCTATGTCTGCCCTGGCCCCCAAAATTGGCTCCCTGGGCATGGGAGCCAATTTTGCCTCCCTGGGCAAAATTGTCTCCAAAAAAGATTGGTGACAACATTGCCAAAGCAACAGGTAATTGGAAGGGTCTGAGGATTACAGTGAAATTGACCATTGAAAACAGACAGGCCCAGATTGAGCTAGTGCCTTCTGCCTCTGCCCTCATCATCAAAGCCCTCAAAGAAAGAAGAAGAAAAAACATTAAGCACAGTAGAAATATCACTTTTGATAAGAATGTCGACATTGCCCGACGGATGCAGCACCAAGCTTTAGCTAGAGAACTCTCTGGAACTATTAAAGAGATCCTGGGGACTTCCCAGTCTGTGGGCCGCAACATTGATGGCTGCCAAACTCATGACACCATAGATAACATCAACAGTGATGCAGTGGAATCTCTGGCTAGTTAAGAACTACAAAGGAGAAGGACTTCCGCCAAGATGGAGGTTTAAGGTGGATATGCCGTGCCTCCTCACACAACCAAGTTTAGGGACAACTAAATATTAGCATCAGAAAACACAACCAGAACACGGAAAACTGAACTTTTCAGAAGTCCGCTAACAACAAATTCTTCGGCCGGAACGGTAAGGGGCGAAACCGGCCTCGGGTGAGGAGTTACAAAGGAGGGCTCGATCGACCCCGGCGCGGAATCCAGACGCGCGAATCCAGTCGCACGGGTTCCAAACCCAGGATTGGACCTAGTGAGCAACCGAGCGGCCCACCAGGTGAGCGACTACGGAGGAGTCAGTGGGGAGGAGGTGGCAGCGAGTTGACTGTGGTTGCCTGGTTGCACGCGGGTGAGGGAGCGAGCGCTTGGACCGGGGGCAGCGGCGGCGGCATTTCCCGCTCTGACCACGCCCCCACATACAGCGTCACAACCCAGCGACCTGGGAATCCAAGGTGCCACTCCTCCCACTTAAAGGGCCAGAACAGACCAAAAATGTCGCAGGGAGACCTCAAAGCCCCAGAGATAAATCTAAGTGACGAAGAAATAGCAAATCTCTCAGACGCACAGTTTAAAACACTGGTCATCAGCTTCCTCACAGATCTGGTGGACTATAGCCACAAATTAGAGAAACATATGAAGGCTAAATTAAGGGAAATGAATGGAATTCCACAGGAAAACCATAGAGATGAAAAAAAAAACTGGGACTCAAATCAATGGAGTGGACCAGAAGGAAGAAGAAAAAAATCATCAAACAGAAAGGAATGAAGAAATAAGAATTCAGAAAAATGAGGAGAAGCTTAGGAACCTCCAGGACATCTATAAACGCTCCAATATCCGAATTATAGGGGTACCAGAAGGGGGGAAAGACACAACCACCAGTGGAAAAACTATTTGAACAAATAATAAAAGAAAATTTCCCCAATCTGGCAAAGGAAATAGACTTCCAAGAAATCCAAGAAGCCCAGAGAGTACCAAAAAAGTTGGACTCAAGAAGAAACACACCAAGGCATATCATAATTACATTAGCCAAAATTAAAATGAAGGAAAGAATCCTGGAAGCAGCAAGAGGTAAGGGGACAATCACCTACAAAGGAGTCCCCATCAGGCTGTCAGCAGATTTCTCAAAAGAGACCTTACAGGCAAGAAGGGGCTGGAAAGAAATATTCCAAGTCATGAAATCTAAAGACCTACAACCAAGATTGCTCTACCCAGCAAAACTTTCATTTAGAACGGAAGGACAGATAAGGTGCTTCTCAGATAAGACCAAATTCAAGGAGTTCATCATCACCAAGCCCTTATTATATGAAATGTTAAAGGGACTTATCTAAGAAAAAGAAGTTAAAGAAACATGAACAGTGAAAGGACAACAAACTCACAGTTATTAACAACCACACCTAAAATGAAAGCAAACTAAAAGGACAGCTAGATCAGGAGTGGAAACATAGAAATGAAGATCTCAAGGAGGGTTAGCAACAGGGGAGTGGGAGGAGGAGACGGGGGGAGAAGGTACAGAAAACAAGTAGCATAGACAGTAGATAGAAAATAGATGGGGGGGGGGGGGGCAAGAATAGTATGGGAAATATAGAACCTAAAGGACTTGAGACACATGGACATAAACTAAAGGGGGGTAATGGTGGGGTTGGGGGGGCAGGGTGGAGGGGAATGAAGGGGGGAATAGAACAACTGTAACAGCATAATCAATTCAAAAAAAATAAATAAATTTATTTTTAAAAAAAAGAACTACAAAGGAAAATATTTCAATTAAAGATCATTTAACAACCAGAGGGGAGGGGAAGAGAGCAGAGGAAAGGAGAAAAAAAGGAAGGAGCTCTACTACCAGAAACAAAAAGAAAAAAGTATACAAAACTGAGTAAGATGACTAACAGAAGTAGGAAATTGCAACTCTATTTCAGCATAAGATATTACACACTTAATGAAAACAAAGATTAAAGGGGGAAGGGACATTAAAAATTAACTAACTGCCCTGGCTGGTGTGGCTCAGTGGATTGAGCATGGGCTGTGAATGAAAGGGTTTGATTCCCAGTCAGGGCACATGCCTGGGTTGTAGGCCAGGCCCCCAGTAGGAGGCACGAGAGAGGCAAGCACACACATTGCTGTTTCTCTCCCTAGCTCTCCATCCCTACCCCTGTCTCTTAAAAATAAATAAATAAAATCTTTAAAACCAACAAGAATTCAGGCTTTAAAAATAACTAACTACTGGTAATGCACAACATAAAAAGAGATAGCTTATAAAATAAAATCACAGAAAGAGGAGGAAAGGACTGAACGTGTACAAGTGAATGAAGATAGGGTGTAATCAGAAGAAAAAGGACTATTGTATATATAAGACATTTTACACAAGTCTAATGATAAACACAAAACAAGAATCCAGAGCTAAGACATGAAACCTGGAAAAAAAAAAAAGAGAAAGAGGAAACAGAGGGAAAAAATCATGGAAAACCACCATGACAATAGCAGACATGATCACAAGGGAAAAGAAACAGTGGAGACACAGAGCAACCAGAAAAAAAAGGATGAAAATGGATGTAGCTAGTCTTTATACATCAATGTGTATATTATATATTTATACATATATAAATATGTATATATAAACGTGTAGGGACTAAACTCACCAATCAAGAGGCAGAGAGTAGCAGGATGGATTAAAAAACAGGACCCAACTGTATGTTGCCTGCAGGAGACTCCTCTCAGCTCAAAGACAAACATAAGCTCAGAATGAAGAGGTGGAAAATGATACTACAATAAGCAGTATCCAGAAAATGCAGGTATATATAAAGCAATAACAGACCTAAAGGGAGAAACTGACAAAATACAATTATGGTAATGTACAGAATACTTCACTTGCAGCAATGGATGGATCATCCATGCAGAAAGTCAATAAGAAAGTGTAAACATTAGACCAAATGGACTTCCTTGCTACTTATAGAACCTTCCATTTCAAAATGACAGGATATACATCTTTGTCACATGCAGATGGGATATCCTTGAGGATAGACCACATTCTAGGGCACAAAGCTAGTCTCAATAAATTTAAGAAGATTGAAATCATATCACACATATGTTCTTACCACAGTGGTAACTAAACAAGAAAGTTGGAAAAATAACAAATACATGGAGATTAAACAGCATGCTACTGAGTAACTATTGGGTCAAAAGATCAAAAGATACATATAGACAAATCAAAATATGACATGCCAAAATTTGGGGGGTGCAGCAAAAGCAGTACTAAGAGGGAAATTTATAGAATTATGGGCCTAACTCAAGAAACAAGAAAAATCCAAAGTGAAGAACCTGACATTACACCTTTAAAGAACTAGAAAAGGAAAAACAAAACCCAAAGGCAGGAGAAAGAAGGAAATAAATATCAAAATAGAAATAAATGAAACAGAGAACAAAAAGTCTATAGAAAAAAATTAATGAGGAGCTTGTTCTTTGAAAAGATATATAAAATTGACACACCTCTAGCTACACTCACTAAGGTGAAACAAGAAAAGACAAATAAAATTAGAAATGAAAGACGAAAAGTTAGAATGGACACCACAGAAATACAAAGAATTTACCAGAATCTATGAAAATTATATTTCATGAGATTCAATAGCCTAGAATAGAAAAATTCTTAGAAGTATACAACCTTCCTAGAGTGAATTATGAAAAGGAGGAAGAACTAAATAGACCCATCACTAGTAAGGAATTTGAAGCAATATTCAAAAACCTGCCAATAAACAAAAGTTCAGGACCAGGTGGCTTCACTGGTAAAGTCTACCAAACATTTTTAAAAGCTTTAATACTAATCCTTCTCAACCTCTTCCAAAAAATTAAAGAGGAAATACTTCCTAACTCATATTATAAAGCTAACATTACCCTGATTCCAGAACCTGGCAAAGACAATGTACAGGAAAAAAGAAAATTACAGTCCAATACCTCTGAGATGCAAAATACTAACAAATTGTAAATACAGCAACATATTAAAATGACCAGACATCACATTCAAGTTGGTTCATTTCAGAGATGCAAGGATGGTTCAACATTCATAAATTGATCAATGTGATACATCATATTAACAAAATAAAAGAAAAATCACATCAATATCAATACATGCAGAAAAAATGACAAGATACAATATCCCTTTGTGATAAAAATCATACTCAATGAGGAAAAACTAAAGTTTTTCCTTTAAGATCAGAAGCAAGACAAGGATGCCCATTCTCACCACTGTTATTCAACACAATACGGGAAGTCCTAGCCAGAGGCAAGAAAAAGAAATAAAAGGCACCTAAACTGAGAATGAAGTAAAACTGTTACTGTTTACAGATGACATGTTTCTAGATATGGAAAACTCTAAAGACTCCACCAAAAAAACTTTCAGAAACAATCAATACAGTAAAGTTGCAGGATAGGAAATCACTATACAAAAATTTGTTGCAGAAAGAGAAATGAAGAAAATTCTATTGCAGTCATGACAAAAAGAATAAAATACTTATGGACGAACTTAACAAAGGGTGTGAAGGACCTGTACACTGAAAACTATAAGACATTGTTGAAAGAAATTGAAGACATAAAGAAATGTCTTCTTTTCCATAAACATGGAAAGCTATTCCATGTTTATAGATCAGAGTTAACATTGTTATACAGATTTAACGTAATTCCTATCAAACTCCCAATGGCATTTTTCACAGAATAAAACATAAAAACCCTTGAATTTGTATAGAATCACAAAACACCCTGAATAGCCAATGCAGTCCAGAGAAAAAAGAACAAAGCTAGAGGTTCCCTTGTGTCAACTTATACTACAAAGTTACAGCAATCAGGCCAGCATGGTATTGGCAGAAAAACAGACACAGACACCAATGGAACATAACTGAGAGCCTAGAAATAAACCTTCACATATACGGGCAACTAATTTCAACAAAGGAGCCCAAAACATACAATGGAAAAGGAAGGTCTCTTGTAATAACTGTGTTGGAAAAACTAGAAAGCCACATGCAACAGAATGAAATTAGACTACTCTCTGACACCATACACAAAAATTAACTAAAAATGGATTAAAGACTTAAATATAACACCTAAAACAATAAAATATAGAGAGGAAAACATAGGTGCTAAACATACGGGCCTTGGTCTCAGAGACATTTTTGTGAATCTAACCAAAAGGCAAGGGAAGTAAAAGCAAAAACAAATGAATGAGACTACATCAAAATTAAAAGCTTTTGCTCAGCAATAGAAACCATTGACAAAACAAAAAGGCAACCAACAAAATGAGAGAAGATATTTGCAAATGATACCTATGATAAAGGGCTAGTATCCAAATATATAAAGAACTCATACAACTTAGCAACAACAAAATCCAGTTAAAAAATGGGCAGAGAAACTTAGTATACCCTTCTCCAGAAAGACATACCTATGGCCAACGGGTACAAGAAAAGATGCTCAACATCACTATTTACAAGGGAAAGTAAATCAAAACCACAATGAGATACCACCTCATACCTCCTAGAATGGCTATTATTTATGAGACAAGAAATAACAAGTATTGGAGAGGATATGGAAAAAAGGGAACCCTATGCACACTGCTGGTGGGAATGTAGGTTGCTGTGGCCACCATAGAACTATGGAAGTTCCTCAGGAAATTAAGAATAGAGCTACCATGTGAACTAGCAATCCCTCTTCTGGGTTTATCTACCTCCCTAAAAATCAAAAAGACTAATTTGAAAGATATATGTACCCCAGTGTTCACTGAAGCATTATTTACAATAGCCAGGACATGGAAACAACCTAAGTACCCATTGCCAGATGACTGGATAGAGAAGATGTGGTACATAT